CGGGTTCTGGCAAAATTAAAACTGCGCACGGTGCAGCGATTTAGGTACACATCAAGACAACCTCAAGTAGTGTTACAGAATAGTGAAGAACGATAAACACCATGTTAAACATATTTTTTTTCCTTGTTTCCTCATGTATATACTTTGATGGATGGAGTTTTCAGTGGTAAGTTACGACCAAGTCGCGAAATAAATACGAAAACCAGGCGCCATTACCATAAGAACATGTCAGCATTTTTGTCAGGGTCTGAGAATACAGCCGAGAATGCAAATATTGTCTCGACAGTACGCGAAACGCCCAATTATTTGGGGCGACGTCACCCCCTGAAGGGACGCTCTTGAAGGAGTGGCGACGATCTCAGGTATTACTACAGGCGAAGATCACTGTCACCTTTATAGGGGGAAGCCTCTAAGGAAGGGTCAGTTGGTCAAACCTACTACAAAAGGCAGGAGGTTAGGAGGGAAAAATATCAGAAATTACAAAAAGCCTCATTCTCCAGCGTTGTTTCATCCTCTGACGTCTACCACAAAAAAACCTTTTTGGGTGTGCTTTTTCCATCTTCCTTTAAAGCGGTAGTCCTTGACCGCGCTTCTTCGCCAGCTGCATCTTCAAAGAAATCTGCACGTCTTTTTTTGGCTTTACAAGGTTGAAATTTTAAAATGCGTCATTTGCAAAAGTGCCTCAACACATAAAAATATCCTAGCAATGACTAAGGACAAATTTAGCCTCAATTATGAGTGTATCTCAGTCCAACTCGAGCGCTTTTCCCTCACATGGCTATTCGTATAACGCTTTCTTATGTCCCGAGATGCTTCACTCCATACCAGTACAGAAACCAGTACAGAAATGCGCTTAAATAGGTTAGATTACATCACTAAAATTATTTACTTGTCTCTTATTTTAGGTGATTAAACAGATAAAAATTGATTTAAAAAAACGCTTGCCAATTAGCCTGAACAGTTAATACTGCAAGTAGATTAAAAAGTTTGTCTAAGCCAGCTCGTTTCCAATTTTCCTCTTGGAAATCATGAAGTGCGCAAACGTTGACCGAGTAAATTTTTGCATTTTTTCGCTTCTTGCTCTTTTCCGTTTTTATATCTGCTCTTTGTCATCTGAAGTACTTGTAAAAGCTACTTTCTGGTAAAATGATCACCGTTCTTCAAGGTGATTTCCGTTTTCTGCGCCTATGACTTTCAAGATCTCTAGGGCTATAGATCAGTTAGGAAAAGACAGGAGGTGAGAATAAGCTTTCCATTACTTACGAAAGGCGCGATTTTTTTCCTAAACTAATAAAGGCAATAAAGTCCCATAGGATTCACATGAATTGCTGCCACTCTTCAGAACTGGTTGACATTGCAGAGGTTCTCTGGAGGCCACCAAGCTACCGGAGTGGTTGTCATGGAGTGAATCATCCTTCTTGACTGTCTTGAACGGAAAGGTACTGGAAGTTTGCCAAAGCAGCTTATGATTCACTAGTTGGAAGATTTGTCCGGAGATAATTAAGAGGAGGATGTTCATTGATTTTTTGCTGCTTTCTTTGAATGCTGCAGGCCCCAGTCTATTTTTTTTCCATTTTTTGTTTGGATGTTTACTTTTGGTTTTCAGATTTGAATGTAACTCATTTTCACTTCTCCACTGTCACGAGAACAATTTTGGCTTGTATAGTCGGTTGGCTTTGCTGATTGGACAGTTCGGTTTTGTGCGTTTTTTTGCCTTCACAGTTTATTCTGTTACTGTTATGGCTAAAATTTAATTCGTTTTCCACAGCCCTTAAAAATAGCCATCCTATTCGCAAAACTTCAGCGTGAGGTGAATGTGGTGTAACGGGTTTACTGACTGAAGCAAGTACTGCTAGAAAGCACGTCGTTTCTTTGAAATTCTTGGTGATTGTGGATTTTTGGACAGGAGGTCGTTGAGGACCTAGAAAGCTTTCAATTTTTTAGAGATTATTTTGGAAGAACGTGAGGTGTGATTAAGAAAGCTAGTTTCTCGTGAAAAGCTTATATTTGAGTGGTGGCTGCATGGTGTGTACAGGGTTTATGTTCACCTGCTGCCTCTTGAAAGGACCAGCTTCGTTTTCGTTTCACACTCGACTTCGTCAGCCTCGACAGTTGCTGGGATGGACTGACTGGATTCTCTGAAATCACGTGTGTTTTGAAAGCTGCTTGTTGCTAAATACTGTTTTCTGCGGCATTTGTGGGAGGCTTCATTTTGATCGCTGAGCTAGCTATTTCAGATTACCGCATATAAACCGCTTTTCATCATGACTTGACGTGTAATCTAAAGTCTTGCGTGTCTGATGATAGATGAGTAATTTTGGGACAAGCTTTTCATTGTGTTACTCTTTGTTCTAGTCTTGTGACAACTCTTAACTCGTTTCCTTCTGTTTGACGACTGCTTTTAAAGCTGTAGGTTTATGAGAATAAAACCCTGGATCTGATGTAAAAATTTCTGGTTAATTTTTTTGTGAAATAAAGGAGTTTCGCTGAAATTTTTTTATCTTTTATCTCGAATGGCTTTGAGAAGCAAAGTTTGTGTCAAGTTATTTTGCACCGCTGAAGCGCAACTGCGAGGGAAACAGTTGATCAATAGGCCTTGCATGTTTGCGGGATTGGAAGGCTTTGGTTATTTTTATATTTTTCGATTATCAGGGAGAGGTTTTAAATAAGTGTTTTGTGCGGTTTTTTGGGTTACTCATATTATTGAAGTCGTAACTGATCTATTAAGCTAGGGTATTACTGGCATTGCTTAGTTGCAAAGTAGCAGAAGTAAGAAGCGAGTGAAACCCGGGAGAAAAAGACTTATAAGGTTTCTTGAGGCAACTAAAGACTAAATTGGAGTCAAAGAACTGGGAGAAAAAACAGTTCGAAGAAAAGTTTTTGTCTTTCAACTGGAGATCGGTCGTTAAAGATTATTTTCAATTTACAAGGCGTGAATTTGATCACGGTTGCGAGGCATAGTGATGATTTTTTGTTATTTTCTAGTTTATGCTACTTTTCATTTTCTCAAACAAAATACGTAGTTTTAGGCTGGTTATGAGGTCTGTGGTGAGCTTTGTTGGATATCATGACGGAAATCGCTGTGGATACTGCAAGAGCTCTGAAGCCATTAGAGCTAGTGTCGGTAATTGAAAAAATGTTTTGGAATTTTTGTCAAACTTTTTAGCCCAGAGGTTCAGAAGTAATAAGCGCCGTTTCTGTTTTTTACTTACTTTTATTAAGTTTCATCTCTCATTTGCTTATTTCAGTTATTATTCCAGGTATGGTTGGTCACATTCTGTCTTGCAACCATTTTAATCAGCTCTTAGATAGAGTATGGAGTCGGTAATAAACAAAATGGCTCTGCTGTGACGAAAAAACTTGTTTATTTTGTTCTTAGTTCATCATTTCTGCTAGGAATTATGCTTTTGGGGGGGTTGTGCGAGATTTTGGTGAGGAGATTGATGGAACTGAACAATATTAATTAGCTGCTGTTTCAGGGATTTGGGCTTACCAACTAAACTTCTCTGATTATAATGGTCTACTAGATAGAGGCATGAGAAGGTATATTTTGCATGTCTTTTTGATGTGTAAAAAATAACTCGTTTTCAGATCTGGGAAGTACGTTTACAAGCCAATTATCGAAAGGACTTGTTGTCCGCAATATTCTATCAGGTGCGTATCGAAAATTAAGTTTGATTTGTATGAGGATTATGAAGTTGGAAACACTTACTTTTTAAATATTGACAGCTGGATACTGGAGTTGCCCTACTCCAAAACCATTTTAGGCTTGATGTGGAGAAATTTTATTTGTCGAAGTCACAAAAAAAGGTTTTACGGCAAATGAATGAGTTCCTAATGTTTGACAAAAGGCCGAAGTTGGTGGTAGAGGAAGCAGCACTTAGAAGCGAAAAAGTACCAGTAATGTGGAATAAAGAAGTATCTTTGGATAAGCTGATGGCAGGGAAAGAGGGAAATGAGTTACCAAGCTCATCTAAACGGAATCTCGTTCACGGGTCAGGAGACCTTATTTCTTCACCAAATGCAAGGAGATGTGGATTGAAAAAGAAATTTTTACGTAGAGAAAAAGCCTTTGAAAGGATGCGTAAGAAAGGAATTGATGTTGAGGAGGCAAGTGAGCTCTAATGATATAAATATAATGTCTGAGCCTTTTTTCATATTGTAAATCTTCCTTGTAGAGAATTCTTAAGTTACTCATATTCCTTGAGTGACTCGCCAGTTTTAGTTTAAAAGGAAACGTTCAGAAGTAGAAGGCGCTAGACGCAAAACTGTAGAGTCATATATCAGTCAATATGATTCTCGCACTGCTGTTCACAAGCTGGAAGTGAGTGGTAGTCATCAAAAGTATAATTCTTTTTCTTATTTTATCGTTAAACTAACATTGTTTTATTAGTTTCTGACCCTTTTCTTTTACAGATAAATTTGCTGCCGTTAGGATCTGATAGTTATCGAGCTACTGAAAACGAAAGTTATAGACTTTTTAAAAAATATCAGGAAACAGTCCATAATGATTATGAATCTTCAAAAGAAGGATATGATCAGTTTGTGGGGTGTACGCCATTAGAACAGTGTGTAAGTTCGTGGTTTCAAAAAATGTCCGTAGAGTCTTATTGAGCGGTCGGTAAAGTTTGATAGCCAGTGTTTTCTGCACAGGTCTATGCAGAGGGTGGAAGTCGATTGATTTGGTTCTTAAATTAGCTTTGATACAGTGTTTATTGAGCACTACCTCACTTAGGCAAGATTTTTTGTTGTTCATCATGTTGTATCCATAATGAAACAAAAATTGATATCTCCGCCAAATCTCTAGGAAATTCCAATTATAGGATGGTTTATTTGGGACGTACCACCAGCACTACCGGGTAGACGGAAAGTTAATTGCAGTGGGGGTCATTGACATCCTCCCTCGTTGCCTTTCCTCTAAATATTTCTATTATGATCCGGACTACAGTTTTTTAAGCATGGGGACATATTCTGCTTTGAGGTATGTTTTTAATTCTATTATGCCCAAACTGTTTTGATCCAGTTACCTTAGTCCACCTCACCCTTACAGTACATGTTTGTGGGATCTTGAATCGATGCTAAATTTTTTTAGGGAAATTGCTTACACCAGAGAGTTGTCAAAGAAAGTACCGGAGTTGCATTATTATTATATGGGGTATTATATCGAGTCTTGTCCAAAAATGCGCTACAAAAGTCGTTTCCGACCTTCTGACCTTTTATGTGATACGAGCTTTACATGGGTTCCTTTTGAAGAGTGTAGGGACGAACTGCGGAAACACGAAAGAGTATTGGCGTTTGCAAAAAACGTGCCTCCCCCAACTCCTATCCCACTTGGCTCTGTGTTATGCATGTATAAAAGGTAGGACAAGAACCCCCTAGTAATTTACATGATTGTACTACAACAGTTTTTAGAACGGTGATGACTTACTCGCAGCTGTTAAAGCGCCCTGGTTTCATCGAGACGTGTGATTATATGGAGGAGTATGCAAAGCTTTTGGGGCCTTTAGCGCAAGAAATCATACTCCTTCGGACTTTCTGATGGATCTGTCTTCGTGCCCTACTGGTGCGGATTACTTTTCTTGCCAGAAGGAAACCATTTTCCGATAGCTCAGTAAGCTGTACTAATGTACTCTACAGCTGCTGAATAAAGTTCTTTTTACTCCACAAATTCAAGATCGCTTGGTATTTTATATGCACCATGATATTGTGTATTTAAATCATGCTCTGGAACCACTCGCAGGAGCTCCGATCATTGAGAGCGATCTGGATCCCGACTACTACGCGTCAGTGTCCGCTAGCACGAAGTCCGTAGTAGTAATTAAGCGACGCCGGGTTGCGGAGAGAACTCGCATTGGCAACCTGAAATTCAAAGAGTCACTGAGTTCCTGACTAGCACCAAAAACACCAAAAACTCATGCTTGGGAATTTTATCGAAGCAAAAATTGTTTCATACGACCCGTTTAACCAATGGAACGATGGGAGTTAAGTGATCTGCAGTAACAAAGTGACATCACTAAAGAAGATAACTTACCTTTTGTCCATTCAGTATCTGTTTTACTGCCATTTCCACTTTCTTCCCATTTACTGTATACTAAAAAAATTAATATAGTGGTAGCAACCATTCATTTATTGCGCTTGCGTTACGGGTATCATTTTCATTTTGTGCAAGGACTTACCGGAATATCAGGAACAGCTATGATGTCGTCGGGCACATGACGAGGTGACATTTCTGATCTGATTTCCATTTTAATTTCCTTTTTTAAAGACTCGGTTAATAAATGGGCAGGATTAATTTTTACAAAAAGCAAGATCTTTTCATCGGAGCCACAGTCTCTTAAAGGTTTAATATCACTCCAACTCGTATGGAAAAAAAGTAGTACCCAGCATCGTACCATACTGGCTCTCTACTTCCAAATCTTCCATTGTTTATATTTGTGTGAAGTTATTAACCGATGAGTTTCTAACGCCGAATTCACATTTGGTTT